TTTCAATCGATATAATAAGTTATTCTACTGAGTTCTCTTTGCGTTGCTAATGGAAGGACGGACGGCTAGATTCAGTTGAATCGGACAAATGCGACTCCAAGTTGCTATGTATAATAAGATTAAATTAGTACAACAAAAGATAGCCAGGAGAAAAAAGTTGTTACTGTTGAAAAGGATAAGAAGTATGAGCTAATAATATTTATAGCGAGAGGCTTAATTAAAATATTAATAAATATCGAAAATTATGAAATCATGTAATCTTTCTTTTATAAATCTGCTCAATTAAAATTTAGTTTCTAATATATATGTTTTTTTAATAAATTAAAAAACTGATTGATGAGGTAATAAAGATAATCAAGATAATAAATTATATTTGAATATACTATGTGATTTAAAAACTGGAATTATATTGGATTTTATTAAGATTATTTATTATAAATTTATAAATATTAACTGATCATGTAAAAAAACCTAAATAAAAATACATTTATTAACTTATAATTAAAACAATGGAATAGTAAAAATATGAATACATAAAATACCATGAATTATCTATGAATGAGATGTTAAAATTAATCTCACTAAATATAGAACTCTGAACTATTTTTTCTTTAAAAAAGTATTAATATCTATCAAATTTAAAAAAAAAAAACATGAAATAATAATGCAAAATAAAAGATAATCAATAATAAATAATACATAAAATTCAAAAACACATAAGATTATTGTATTTGTCTTATCAAAATTAAATATAAGTATTTGATCGTAAATTTTGAACAAAATTATAATTACGTATGCTTTTATATTGATCGAAAAAATTTTTTGAAATTTTTAAAATTAATTTTTCCGAATCAAAATGGTATAACAAAATTTATTATTCTATTGGAAACAAAAAATAGTTTTAGCTGAGTTATATATAAGAAAAGAAAAAATTTAATTTTCTAATGAAATTTAATATAATATATGATATTTATATCGTTGGATTTAAGAAAAATTTGAAGATTGTAATGTATTAAATATTGAACATTGAATATATAAATTACAATGTTCAAATTTTGTTACGAACCTTATGGCATAAATATCACAGATTCCAAAAGAAAATTCAAAATTTTCTTTTCTATGTGGTACAATTATAATATTATATATATATATATATTAAATTCTAAATTAATGTTGAATCTAAAAATTCGAAAAATACTAATTATTGAATGCGAATATATAATATAAAAATAAGTATCTATTAGTATATTACTAGTATAGTCTAATAGTATATAAGTATTCTACTATAAATAATAAAGAGAGATTTGATGGGATAAGAATATTTTCAAGAATAGATACAGATTTTTCTTTGAATTTTATGAGAAAAGAAGTTAATGTTATATATCTATATAGTTTAACTATATTTTATTACATTATCTTTGAAAAATACAATAAAATTATTATAAAAAGTATTATTATTCTATACAGTTACATTTTTAACTACAGATCTTTTTATAATAATTGAATCCTGAACATTTTATTTGAAACTTTGGCTTTGAATACAATGTATTACTAAAATTAATGTTCTTTAATTCAATACTGATAAATTGTTTACCCAGAAATTTTATATTATTTCATGTTAAATTAAAATCATTACTAAATTATTATTAAATTTGCTAGATAATTCTTGAAGAACAGCAGATTATAAAAATTCATAGTTTTAACTTAAATCGTTGTTATTTTATACAAAATAATTAATTCTGCTATATTTTCATTTTTATTTATGAAAAATTCAAACGCAATATTATAACATAAATTATAACTAAGTTGTTTTGAATGATGGTCTGATAATGAAAATGAAAGATTTATGTACTCTTAAAAATGCATTGATGTATTAAATTAATATTTATATATGTAATTTTAGTTGATCGTAATTTTAATAATATGAAATTAAAATTTTTTTTAATGAACAATTTATCAATTTTAAAATAATGTTTAAGGTTCTGAATGATTATATTTATGTAATAAAATAATATTTACATAATACAATTTATTAATACTTACATTCAATGAAAATATGAGAAAATTCAGATATGATCTGTAACATGAGTCTATGAAAAGTAAAGGAAATCCAGTATGGAAAGTAAAAATAAAAATAAATTTTCTTTAATTATTTTTGGATTGTATAGTAATATTAAAAGTAACTATTTAGAAATAATAATCTTATAAAATATTTAAATTCTGGCTTAAAGATATAATATGAAATGAATATTAATAAAATTATCGTATGAATATTCTATCTATATCCTTAAAGAATGAGATTTCATTTTTTCTATACATCGAAACTTTCCGATGCTCACCTTTGAAGCGGACGTAACCAATCCTTGGCTGACCTGGAAAACATAAAGGACTTCACAGTAGCGAGTCTCAATTCACTTCGAACAGCCAATTCTCAAAGTCGCTAATTCGTTGCTTATCAAAAGCGTAAGAGCGAACGAGAACGGCTATAAATTAAATTAACATATAAAGAAATAAAGTACCCAAGTTCTTGTATGGCTTTGACGCACTAACTGCTTTATGTATACATGCACAAAAAAGTTCTTAATTAAAAAGTAGGCAAAGCGATGAACGACAGGCACGCCGGGCAATTTATGATTCGTTAGTAACGCTCGAATGGCTACACACATTGCCATTACAAGTTGAAACCGATTAGAAGTCTGGAAGAAGAAAACTTGACGGTCAAAATTATGCTCCTGAAAGCTTCCATTTCTATCTCACTTTTTAAGGAACGAAATTACAATTTTTTTTCTACTTTATATTAAAAACTTACAGATCTTTAAGTGCAAAGACAATGAATTTTTTTCTATAAATTTTTCATATTTGGATTTTATTTTCTTTGGAAATTTTGAAATTGTTTGAGATTTAATAATGTTTTAAATATCAAAATTTTCATGTTTATCGTAGATTACGTTTTTGTTAATAATATTTTATTGCATTTTTCAAGTATAATCATAAAAACAATGTAATAAAAAAATAATAATTGTTGTGCTTTAACGAAAACATAATTTTTAAAAAAATAGTACTGTAAATATAATTTCACTATTTCAATTATACATACACAGTAGAATTATTAAAACATAATTTTAATTTTATTTTGGAAACAATTTAAATCTTTTTTTAAATTCACCCTAAATTATCCATTTAAGTGTATTTTATAAATTTTTTTCTATGTATAAAAGTTATATATATATATATATATATATATATATATATTACACTTATATTATTCTATAATATAAACATTAATGACAAATAATTATATAACTACAGAAAAAATATATAAAAATTATAATACATTATTGAAAATATAATGAAAATATAAATACCTGTTATTATTACTGTTTATTTTCATATATTTTGAAAAATTTTCTGATAATACCACTTTATTTAGAAGCACTTTATCCAGATAATATTTTTACTACTATAAATTTTATAATATTTAATAATTATTAACAGGTAAATTGCTATTAAATATTTAAAATTGTTAATAATAGGATTATAATTACATTTTAAAAAAAATTTATTTTCATAAAACTTGTTGTAATAATATAAATTCTAACCCTTTTAAATAATGCTTATGATATAATTTGTATAATTTTTTTCAATTCTTCTATTGTTTAAATACAATATCCAGACATAATAAAACGTTGACTATAAGCACAGTTTATTCTATTGTGTAATACAAAACTTGTTTCATGTTAAGTACATAAAAAACTTCTTACAATTTCAGTAAATTGAAATGTCTTTCAGAAGTATAATTTTAGATATGGAAGGTAGTTAATAGAAAATTTTAAATGTGCATTTCTTTTATAAAATATACTTTATAATAGTAAATATTAAAAATGAATGTCATAAATGAATACTAACATATAAAAAATAAAATCAAAAATTTATTATTGATACAATATAAATCACAATGAAATCAATACTTTTGTGCAGTATTAATATTAGCTTAATATAATTTGTAATATTTATCGGAGTAGAAGTTTATGTTTTAACTGGTCTTTAAAGATTGTATTTAATATTAGAAAACTAAATTGAAGATGTTTATATAAAAATATGTATTATTAAAAATCGTCTATATAAAGTAGAGAAAAAATATTTCACCAATATAACTTTTTTATATTTTTTTAATTATTTCATGATATTACGTGATAATTTAAAGTTTAATATAAGTTTATTATTAATTAACAGAAAGTTTTTATACAATTAAAAAAATTAATTCATAAATTAAACATTTATTTAATTATATTTAATTTATCTTTATATTAATATAACTTCATTTACTATACTATACTACAGCTTATATTATTAATAATTATTATTTTTGTGTATTTTACAAACATTATAAATATGATAAATATGTTAAGTCAATTATAAAAATTTAAAATTTTCAATTGTATAATATTAAAATAACCTTACACTGTTATAATCATTAAATTGTCTCTAAACAATTGCTTTGAATAGGGATAAATATATTTTGTACGTTGATCTGTAAATAAATATTATTTAAATGTAAATGCGAATATTACTATTCATTATGTTGTATCTGTGAATTTGAAAATGTAGTATACGAAATAGTTCTATTTAGATTATTGAATAAACATATTTTAAATAAATAGTATATCGCAGGAAAAATCATGAATAAATCTAAATCGAAATATATTTAACAAATGATTTACTTTAGGCTTTAAAAGTAAAATACTAAACCCAAACAAAGTTATAATCTAAATTTTTTATTCCTAGATATATATATATATATTACAATTATTACAATATTAATATTGAAAATTTTTTTAATAATTTTAAATACGTTATTCTCACTCCCCAACAACATTCGTTATCGACTTCTCGAAACTTATTGTACCAATCGCAATTGCAAACTTCCTGTGCAAATTATCGTACGCCCTCTATGAACGAAAAACTTTTCATCCGGTTGGATCGTTATAAGAACCCACGATCGGTCCATCGTAAGTCAGTCGCATTCGACCAAACATTAGAACACGAAGACAGCGGTCAGAACCAATTCCTCATTATGACGATCATCAACGCTTGCGTTATCCTTGTCGCCGTTGGCGGTGCTTTGGCTCAGGTCGGTATACTAGTGATACACTCAAAGAAATGAGCATGCCAAGTAATTCAAAAATGGCTTTTGATTTTAACCACGCTTATTTTTAAAGAAATATAAAATTAATATTTCAAATTCGTTTATTTTCAATTGTTATATAATAATATGATATTTTAAACTTAAATAAGTACTTTTAGTAAAATAATTAGAAAAAAAAGATTGTCGAAATGAGAAATATCGTAATATTTATTTTTACTTTTGTTTGTATAACGTAGAATTATAATATAAAAAACTATTGTTAATATTAGTGAACAGAAATTGTATTTGAACAAATTGAGATAAATTTATGGCTTAATGTGTTCAAAAATGAGACTGAATAACTAACTGTTATTTAAACATTCAATTCCATTATATTTGTGATTTGGTATTTTTGATAATCATTAATATTTAATAACATATTTTTAATAATGTTTTTATTTTTTATGAAAATAAGTGTGTTGTTAAAAAGATGTTAAAAAATTGAAAATCATCTTAAGTTGTAGATTGTTTAAATTTATATTTTTATAATTATTTACTGCTAGTAAATATAATAATTTATGAAATCAAGAATTTATTTAAAAAATATTACAATTTTTATAGTGTATATTGAAATTATGCTTATTGAATTCATATACATATTAAATTTAATTATTGTATTCTTTAAAATCATTAAAATGAAGTGAATTTTTCTTTTAAATTAAAATTCTAAATATTAAACATCATAATATAAAACTGAATATTGTAATATAACAAAAAATGTACTTTGTGAATCCACTAAATAGAGAAGTCCATTATTCAAATATTCGAAAAAAAATTTACTTTATATGCTCACATATAATACAACTCATGGAAAAACAAAACTTATACTTAATCTATTGATAAAAATCTGACAACTAGTGAACATTTTTGCATATGAAACAGCAATATGAAAGAATAAAAAAAAAGATTCACGTCTCTGATATGACACTTAAGAATACTTCCCAGCATTGTTTATAATAGGTTAGACGGTGGGATGGGACGGGAGTAAAAGAAAACTGAAAAAGGAAGCAAACAAATAAAGAAGAAGAAACAGTGACAGAGACAATATTGGCATGAAAAATCATCAACTTATGCCAATGTTTTTGCCTCTTCCCAGAGGATTTCTTAGTTAGATATAGAATAAAACTAAATGAAATAAAATCTTATAGAAATTGTCATATTTTTATTCAGATATATATAATAATATTAGAGTATATTAATTATTATATATATATACTGGGTTTTATGATCTTTAATTAGATGTTAACATTTTTAAAAATATAAAATTTTTTTTGTTACTAGAAAATAAAAATTTTTTCTTACATTAAATAATATTATTAATAGATTTTAAAATAAATAGTTGCATAGTAAATACATTTTTCACTAATATATATGATATGTAGTATTTAGAATTGCTTCCTAAATTATATAAAATAATTGTATAAATATATAATAAAATATAAAATACTATTGTACCAAAAAACATGAAAATCCATTATGAAAATGAGATCAAGAAGTAACAATATAGATCTAAAAAATTATAAAAAATAATTTTCAATATAAAAACAATAGTTCTAATGCAAAGTTAAAAATAGATAAGAGAAATAGCCACTCATAATGTAGAACACAAGTGCACATATGGAACATGTGTATAACGCGTTCAATTATGAAAAGCAAATAGACTGAGGTAGAGGTGATGATTTGCAAAATATAGAACTCTTATGTAGATAGGTGTAATCGTATTATATTAAAGTAGAAAGATCCTTTTTTCAGATTTCATCTTCCATCTCTTCAGTCAAACTCATAGTTTTTTGCATCATCGCATCTATACTGATTTCGTATGTCCATTTATGAAAGAAAATAGAACTAAAAGTCAAGTATATAATTGTAAAATTACAATATTATTTGACTTTTATATCTTGGCTATGATTCATCTTTTTTGTTTAAAAAATAAAAAATGTGATCTCTTACCAAACCCCGTGCAAGCATGTAAAAATTGAATGTAGATAGTACTCAACGGATTAAAATTAATATGTTTTTAGTATAAAAATTAAATAAAACTATATAGTAATAATAATTATATAAACTCTTAATTGTTTATAAGAAATTGAAAACAATTATTAAAATTATGTCGATAATAGAAATTTATAAATTTATAATATCTATGGGATGAAGTAGACTTTTGAATTCAACATCAACTTATTCAAGTAAATTATGGAATTTTACCCCTTTTTTCTGACAAGCAATAAAAAAAAATTAAGTAAATACATTATTAATTTACTTTATTTATAGAAATATCTATGCTTATTAGGAAACAACAATTTTGATATTATTAATAAATATTTACGTAAGTATTTAACAAACGTTTTTTTAAATGCTACTTTTTGACATCATTTACATAAAATTATGTAGAATGTATGAATAAATATGAATTCAATAAATAAATGTAAGCTTTTAAATAGATGACTGAACACTGATAATGTTAGAACACTAATGCATAGATTATTATGAACAAACAAATTACTTCATCCATTTTGCTTGTAAATTCTATTATTACTCAAAAAGTTAAATAATATATCTAATTCTCTCCAATCTTAATTTGAAAATGATAATAGCTCCTATACTTAATTTAATAATATTTTATCCTTATAAATATTCATTGGCATAATCTGTATAGTTTGTATAGAACATAAAGTGTTCAATATTTTATACTTATACAGTATTAAATAATACAAACGTGCAGTATAATCTTTAATTTTACGCGATTGAAAAGCACGAAAGGAAAAGAAAATTATACTCTAGACATCATATCCACTACATATTTATAATAGTACTGTTTGAATATTTTTCATAAAATATTTCAATTTATGCATCTAAGTACGTTGAAATTGATATTTTAATAATTAAAGCAAAAAAATGTAATGCATGGCTCAGAAATAGAAATTTTACTTGTTACATCGTATTTCAAATCAACTTTGGACTATGTATTTTTTTTTATTATTTTTTTCCGAGCGACTGCATTTGTTTACTGACAAGAAATATTTTATAATCGCATATTCTTTTAATTCTACTAGGAACATTCTATGGTAAATGTGAATGTTGAAAATTAATTATTAATTGTAAAACATACTTAAAATTTATATTTTACGTAAATGTATTTGTAAATGTAATCTTGTCACACACACACACACACACACACACACACACACACACACACACACATATATATATATATATATATATATATATATATATATATAGTATACGTGAAAAAATATAATAATATTTTAATTTAATACTTTTTATAATCGACACGAATTATTTTTATATGCAAATACTTTTGTTCGATAAGAGAAATAGAAGACAATTCAGTAAATTAGTTGTAATTTATTTATTATGTTGAAACATTGCGGTTCATCTTCACGAACAAAAACTACAATTTTGTCTCATCGAATCGATATTTCTCCCATACTTTTCGCAGTACCAGGGCTATGATCCCCTGTCAGGATATGCGCCAGTTCCATGCGGACCACAGTTTCCTCCACCACCAGTAATGTTGCCATACGGATATGACAACAATGCCAACCACAACCAAAACATCAATGTCAATGACAACTACAATGCCAATGCAGCCCGACCGATCTATCCTGCAGCTCCATACTACCCGAAGGACCCGTTCTATCCTGAACTACCCATGGTATATCCGACTTCCAGTTACTTTGCTCGACCGAAGAATCCATTCTTTATTGAACCGGCTTACTACCCCGAACCACAGGCGATTCTTCCACGACAAGGACCGATGCCTTTTGGAGGAGGTTACGGATACGACGGAAACAACAACGCTAACGAGAACGTCAACACCAACATCAACGCCAATGCCTTCCGTAGGAAACTGCATGGCTCGAGTAACGAGTAAGGCTTTCGATGGGGGCTTTCCATAACTCTTTCTCTTTGCTTGCTTTTTCTCTGTACTAATTCTCCTACTGATCTATTGTAAGTTGTAAATTAATATCTAAATACGATTTTACTGGCCGACCTACAATCCTTAATTCAGTCACATTTTCAACATAGCAGGAATTTATTGATAAAAATCTCCAATGGAGTATTGAAGGCTAATTTAAGCTTATACGTCTGCATAATCATGCACTAACTTTCTAGAAATTTGATATAATTTACTGGATGTTATTATAAATTTTTTGAGATATCGACTACTCTAGTTTTAAAATTACAAGCAAAAAGTTATTTGTCTATAGATTGCTGTCAAAATAATATAGAATAAAAACTATAATGAAATTGTGAATTGCTTATTAATAAGACAATGAATTATTTAAATTTTTTATAATGTCTCACTTAAATTAACTAAAATAAATAGAAGTAATTTTTTTTAATCTATTCTTCTAGTATCAATTATGTTAATTAATACGGAGGTTCAATTTCTAATTATACGATGCAAGTGCTATATTTTATTTTTGGTACTTATAGAGAATTACAATAAAAATATGTAATTATTAGACAAACCTTCTTAGATCATTATTAAAAATTTTTTTTTTATAAATGCAAATTTTTAGCTACGTATAGTTTTATATATTCGATTATCAAACAAAATCTACCAATCATATGTTGTTACATATTTGTTTGTTTATTTTATATTTTGTATAAAGGAAATTAGCTTGATACAAGAATTGGACTTTCGAGGTAAAATAATAAAATCTATAATATTTCTTTATAGTATAAAAAAATATTTAATTCAAAAAAGGATTTGAACATATTGGTGAAATAGGGCGTGATAAAAGACAATGAACGTTTGATGCATTGTAAACATAAAGTCTAAACATATATATTGAATATAGCAATAATTCACCAACATTAGTAAGTTTTGTCATTTTTGTTAATATTATTAAAAAAATATTTTAATACTAATCGTTTTTTGGTTTTTCAATAAATCATCAGCTACCATAAAAATTTTTTACACTGTAGCAAAATTGCATTTAGCAATATTTAATGAAAAATACTGTTCAAATTCTTTTTTAACTTTAAAAAGTTTAGTAGTATTCTAGTAATTTTTGTTCTGTTTCATTTTGACATGGCACATAACATAAATTCTTTTACGATAGTAATTTTATTAAAAATATTATGTAAGCTTTCTGTTTAAATTTTTTATGCAATAATTAAAAAATAATAATGAAAACAATAAATAAAATTGTAAGGAGATTTCCAAGAAATTGTTAAAAATGTTTAAAAAAGTACTTTACAAATTTTCAAATAAATTATTATATTATTATTTTAAGTAGAACATGAAATTATTTTGAATGTGTAATTAAGAAGATTATTAATTTTATCGATGTATAGAAATGGCATTTATCTTATTATAAATACATATAAATCCGTAAACAAAAAATTTAAACAGGAAAGCCTTATTTAAAGCTTCACATTATTGTGCATATTTTCTAATTATATGAAATTTTAGCATAACTTTATTCTATCTAATTCTATTTTGCTTTTAGTTATTCATATGTAGTAAGTTCATATGTAGTATTAACTAAGATTATTAAATTAAATTTAAAATATTTAAATCAAAATATTTAAATATAAAAAATCTACAAATAAACAATTTTCAGAACTTTGCTTAAGTTCATGTGTCTATAGATCTCTTCATTATATTTTAAACTTCCAAAAGCAGTAAGTACAAAAATTTGTCAACTTGTCATTTATTAGTCTTTTTATAGGAAAATTCCAAGAAATAGTATAAAATAACTATTCTTATATTTATTTCGCTTTCTATTATGAGCTCGGTAACAAGGATCAAAGATTTAAATTCGTAATGAAAATTATATTTATAATATGATAGCTTCAACTTTTTACGATTCTTTTAAATTTTCCGTCTATTATAATTTCTTCAAATGTCAAGTTTGTTACTCCATAATTAAAAATTTTCAACATTAAAATTAAAAAGTGCATGTTTTAATATGTTTATTTCTATAATACATTTACTAAATAATTCATGAAAATATAATAACAAAAACTTTTCGCATTCTAGTTTTCCTATTTTTCCCTTTTTTACTTTACACTTTCTTATAAATATTAATTCCTTTAAACGTTAATAATATACATATCAACATTTTTATAATATATCATAGTATGCTACTTAATAATTAACATATATGTTAATAAATAATATTAATGTTTAACAATTATTGCTTTATTTTTAATTAATAATATTAATTATAATACTTTACAAGTACATAACATTGAAGAGTATTGTATAACTTGGCTTATTTCTAAAAATTAAGTATTAATAACATCACTTTATGTTAAATTAAGGTTTGAATCAAAGTAACATGTATAACATATAACATATATAACATTGCGAAATAATTTTAATGCCTCCATTATAACTTTTCATTACGTTTTAGTATATAAATGCTCTAGATAAGTGAAGTCTAAAAGTTTTATCGACTTTATAAGTATGTCCCATTCAACATAACAATTTTTACTTAAAATTGTTACTAAGTTGTGGAAAACGATAAAGTTTAGAAAATTTCGTTTTTTAATACAACCCGTTTTAGAAAAATAAAAAATAAGTAAGTAAATGAAATTTTGAGTTACTAATATATAATTGTCATCTGTTTCTTTATTTAAAATACCTTGTTTACAAATTTATTGCCAAGGTGATTTTGGGGTCTGTTTCCACATAATAATTATATTTTTAAATACTTTTAAGTTAGTTAGAATAAATAAAGTAATAAGCTCAGAAAATTGTGTTAGAACTCTAGATTTCAATCAACATGCATTTTGAAATGATTACTAACACTGAATCTAAAGCATGTGCTAGACGACACTATCTAGATTTTCTATTATTCTACTGAATAAATAAGAACGCCTCAGAGACTTTTCTTTCTCATCCACAGGGATACCAATGTCAACACCAATACCAACACGAATACCAATTCCCTCGAGCCGTTCGTATTCAAATATCTATATCAATAAACATTTTTCCTTACGAAAATATTAACGATTTATATTATATTTACAGTAAATAGATATCCAATTCCATCTCCATGGGAGGGACCGCGTCAAAGTATCAAGGATTGTCAAGGTATTGACAATCTCTTGTTTAAAATGTCAAGTGCCCCGCTTTTGCAGCTTGGATTTTTGGTCCTGCCACCCATCGATTTGAATAATAATGAATGTCCCTGCCCCTATTAAACAGGATGACAGCACTGCTTTTTTTAACTGGATTTGATTGTGATTAATAAATCGAAATCAACATTACAAAAATATAAATGATTTTGTGCTTTCTTTCTTTACTTTTCATTTATTCTGATTTTCTACGTAGCGTTAATATTAAGAATTCTGAAATACAATTAAATATGTACTAAACTTTTATGATCAATTAAATAATAAAATTGAATTTCGAATTTATTTAATAGACTTTCCAAGATTCCAAAAATTTCTTATGAAATTAATTTTTTTTGTTAATATTTCATCTTTTTAGTATCAGCACTATACTCAAAATGTGATGACGATTCTTAACATCATTATTTCAATTTACATTATTATTTTATTATTTTACTTTATTACTTTCACACTGCATCTGTTATTATATTTATTACAATATTATTTATATATAAATTATTAAAAAAGTTTTATCATTAAAGATTATTTACAGTTAATTCTATAATGTTTGTAATAATATCTCTTTTCATTGAAATTAACTCAAATGCTATCTGAAACAATTCGAATAATTTTGAAACTTAGTTTTAAAGTGATCATTGAATCCATGTTCAAATTTATCAAAAATATTCAATATAATTATTTCACTTTTATAAATGAAAACTATTTTACTTGTTAACGTTCCTCTAGTAGTTGTCTAAAAAATTTCTAAAAGAAACTTAATGATTCAATAAATTATATGTATACAATTCCTTTAGATACCTCATTTAAATAATTGCAATTATTCATGAAATTATATATTAAATATGAAAATATTTTTGTGAATATACATATATATATATATATATGTGTGTGTGTGTGTGTGTGTGTGTGTGTGTGTGTGAAGTTAATTCAATGACCAAAAGTTGACCAAAATCATTTGAAAGATTTTGTTTTATATCTAGTTAATATTTTAAAAATTGAAAAAATATATTTTTTAAATTACGAAAGATAAAAATATAACAATGACTATAAAATAGCATTACTTATTTGTTATGTATTTTCAATAAAATTAAAATTAGAGTATAGAATAATGTATAACTAATTAAACAAAATTGCACAATAATAGGATAAATTATTTCACAATAGTGCAACTTTCTAACAATAATAGAATTTCATAAGCACAAAATGTATATTTAATTTATGCTTTATAATTACTCTAAATTATATTTCTATTATTTGTAATCGTACACATTTATGCTTATAGAAATACTAGAAAAGTCTTGGAATATAACTTATATATAATACTTTTTAGAATCATTAATTTCAATAGATGTAATTTTAAATTATATGATATTTAAAAAATAACATATTTAATACATTAATTAAAATATTCTTAAATAAGTAGTTAACAGTAGAATTTTTATAAAATTTCAAACGTAGATCCTACATATAAGATATAAAATATACTGTAGCAAAACAGAATGTTAGAATAGTTAGTTTAGGAAAGTAATTTATGTATTTAAATTTTAATTATGCTCTTGAATTTATTTATCTATGTTCAATGGCAAAGAAAGCAACAAATATTAAATTATATAAACAATAATATATGATTATTAGATAATATATAATGTAGAAGACCTATCGTTAAAAAGTAATTATAAACATAAAGTGAGAAAAAAATATGAATTTATAAGTTTATTATTGCAATTTTTGTATTTCCTTTGATATAATTACAAGTAGTCTCTGGTATATCGACTCAACTTTTTAAAATAATTAACAGTTATTCGAAGTTACAACGAATATCAAAGATGTAATAAAAAAGTATTATATATTGCTTAATTTATCTATTTACATCTATTAATAATTAAATGCACCTGCTTACTTCACATATAAAAGCTGAAAATAAGATTATAACAGTTCTGTAGTGGTATAATTCATTATTTAATCCCATATTAATATATTAATTTTTGATCGTTTGAAATAATTAATTTTACATGATAATATTTTTAATAAGTACAGAATTATTAAATTTGTGATACCTAATTTTTATACATGAATCAGTTATATTATGCATATTGCCTGTAATTAATCAAGTTTAAAACAATCCTAAATTTTATTTACTGTTAAATTTATTAAATACGTGCTATTAAAACTCTTTATTACAGAAACTAAATTATACGGTATTTTTCATTTTTCATTTTTATATAAAAAATTGAAAAATAATTGAAATATTTTTGTATTAAAAAAAAAGAAGATTAATCAATTTGAGAGTATATAATTTATTTTATTTTAATACGTCCATGCTTACGAATAATGTGTTTCAAATTTAATATTCAATTTTATCTTCTATTAATTTTCATCTCGCAAATGTTTCTCCTTCATATCCAACCGTAGATAATTTACTAATACGTATCCCGTATTCTTCTTTTAACTCCCCAATACTAATTAATTGCTTATTCTACTTTCATACTAAAAATTCATTTCAAGTTTAACTTATATATATGAACTGAATATATAATGAACAATTTAATATTTGTTTAAAATTAAAAAAATACATAAAAAAATGATTTATAGTTTATATTTAGTATATTTTATATAATAATTACTTCTACAAATAGAAAAATGAACTTAAAGAAATGATTCTTTTATGTTACGGTTTCGACAATTATTTAAAATACAGCAGACATTTGTTTGAATCATAAAAATATGCATATTGAAAAGTTACTTATATATTTTCAAGAATATTTAATATTACACACGCGCGCGCGCGCACACACACACACACACACACACACACACACACACACACACACATATATATATATATATATATATATATATTATGACACAAATAGAGTTTTAGATTTATTGGAAATTTGCTAATAATGGAATATAAAATTTTAAGAAAATATTAATTTATATTCGAACGATGGATATAGATAATGGGAAAATGAAATAAAAGTTCTTTTGGTAAAATTCAAGTTCCATCGGAAATATTTTTTTTTCAGTTCAATACCCATGAATTTCAAAAGAATAATATTCAGAAACTTGTATTTAAAAGCCGCTGGATGACAATGAAAAAGTAAAATAGAAAAATTTTGCTAAGAGCAAGAGCCAAAATCGTTGCACCTGTAATTATAAAGAGGATTTATAATACCTACCGACTGAAATATGGCAAAACAGGAAAACTCGAAGGATAACGGAAAAGCGTCAAATATGACTAAAGGTTACTTGCAATCTAATACCGTAATATTTTGTGAATTGCACGCTCATGCCTTAAACACATAGACCATATTCCTGTCAACTCTACTTTTCTTTCATTTTCTTTTGGCTTATCCTATTTTTTAGGTACATAAATATATCTGTACTTGGTAGGTGAAAGCAATATCGAAGCACAAACGAGCTATGAATGCTAATATTTTCTACTCGTATCTTTTTTTCTTTTAGTCAAGATTCTCCATTTCTATATCCCGTTTTTTCGTTCAGTCAAGTTGTCTGCTCTCACAATGTCTCTGGAGATTTATGTAACGTGCGTCACATACATTTTTACGTGAAACTGGCTTCTTGTCGACAATGATGAAAGCACCAATGATAAGAGTAAAAGAAAGATAAATGAATCATATGTATCAAAAAATTGAAGGACATAAGAAAAAATTTTTTAAATTTATTAATGAGAAAGCAGATACGTCGATCTGTTTTCAATAGAAAATATTAAGTAACTTTCTGTATGAAAAAATATTCGTTAGTGTTTCGAATATTAAAAATTAAAGTGATGTTAGACATATAATAGATTTTTACAAAAAACTAAGAAATATAAGCCACTTACAAATAAATATATGATTTTTTAATACATACATAAGTGAAGATTTCAGGTATAAAACTATTAACAGATTAAATACAAATACGTAATATACACTTAATATATATTAAGTATTAATACTTAATTATATATTTATATATATATATATATATATATATATACTTAATTATATACTAAAATTAATACTTAATATATACTTAATACATATAATATACTCAATATTATAAATAAAATTATTCATTTAATTGTGAAATTAAATACTATTTTTTAATTACAACATCATATATAAATGCAAAGTTATTTTTATAACCATGTTTGTTGATTGGAGATTTTCATATATAACAAATATTTCATTAAATTTATATAATGAATATATTAGTCATTTTTATAAATTTTAATAATTAATGATCATAAGATATAATTTTTATTGTATCTAGTAGCTAAAAATTATTATTAGACTGCTAAATTTAGGTCAGCTGATGTTAATTAAGTCGGGTGGAACAGTTTTAAAACTGCTTGTGATAATTTATAAAATTACAAGACAGTTTGAAAATTACAAATTTGATTATTACTGCAACATACTCTCTACTTAAAAAAAGTATTATGTGTTAACACGAAAGATTTTAATTGTCATCGTAAAGGTTTTATTATATTTAGCTAGATTAGATAAGAAAACTATATTTAATATTATTTTATTGAAGGTCGACCATGTTTATTTATGTACTATTTAATACTAAAATGATATAATTCTAGAAATTATAATGTTTTTGAAATTTTAAGCTTTCACTTATTTTTGAAATTCATTGAGGATTACAATCTTATAAGTATCGACATAAAAAAGAGCAAATATTACAATAATAGTGTATAAATTATATATTCTGATAAGACTCAAAATGATACAAAATGATTAACGTCATATAATAATTTCATTTAATGCATACCATAATAATGTATCATTATGTATACATACACTTATTCTATTCCTACAATGCATCATTAAGCAAAATATAATTTTTTCGAGAAGATTATGAATGGAATTTAATTTTAAAAATAAATAATTCTAAAAAATAAAAAAATACAAGGAATATGAAATTCGCTCATTAATAAATGTACCAATAAATTATTTATTAATATTTCCATCATCAACAAATCGTGATTTCTTTGAAAATATGCAAATTTAAATTTAAAGGTTAAAATTAATTTTTGGAAACATTCAATTTTCACTTATAATCAATGGTATTATTCGGTAAGT